CCTTCCTCTAAAAATCCTCAGGTGAGGATTAAAAATAAATAAATAAATAAAAATAATTTATTGCTATGTAATTATGACTCAAAATTGCACTTATTTGCCCAGCTGGTGTGGCTCAGGGCTTGAGCATCAACCTATACAATGGGCGGTTTGATTCCTGGTCAGGACACATGGCCAGGTTTTGGGCCTGATCCCCAGTAGGGGATATGCAGAAGGTAGCCAATCAATGGTTCTCTTTCATCATTGATGTTTTTATCTTTTTCTCCCTCTTCCTTCCTCTCAGAACTCACTAAAAATATTAAAAATAATTGTTCTCAAAGATTCTTTAAGTTCCAACTGTAATAACAACTCTTTAAAAACCTGTTTCTCATGCACACACTCAGAAAAAATGCCCATACTTCCAATCCAGGCATAACAAATAATGAACATATAAGCCAAAATGCTACAATGATAACTAAATCTTATTTAAAAATCTCAGGGGGTTAATGCATGGACTTTGCATATCATCAAATAGAAACACAAGTACTCATACAGATCTGATTTTAAATGTTATCTTTGGAATGATCAAATAGTATGGATTTTAAAAATTACTTAATCTTTTGGTGTCTCAATTTCTTCATCCAAAATATGGATGGGAAAACTATCTCATGATGTTTTTGTTACCATCATATAAAGTAAGTATGTAAATGGAATAATACCTAGGATAGAGTTGATACTAAGTAAAAATAATAATAATAATAAAGCTTCTATAGTTCTTATGCTTGAATAGAGAGAGATAGCCAATACTCGTCAGGTAAATAAGTCTCTATGACATTTTATAGAACATTTACCAAACATTTTTGCCTATGCAAGCCATTCAAATTCCTTTTCTTGGATGTTCCTTTACAGAGATGAAGCTACCATCATGGATTTGTTATCTTGTCATTTTTCTCCATTGTGGCATAAAGCACTAACAACTGCTCCAGGTAGCATGACAATGTGGCCTTCTCAAGGATTCTGAGTATCTCTGGTACTCATATAACATTCCCCTACAGCTGAGATCTTAAGGACTCAGCAGGTGCTAAAGGCTTAATTGTGTCCTCAATAACTTGGGCCCTGAGCCAGAAGGTCACTGTCTTCTAAGAATTGTCTTTAGTTATTAGATACTAGTAATTGCATTTCCTGGACTGATTTCCTTTACAGATGTGAATTGCTCCCTTGTTAAATTGCTCCTGGGCATTTCTGGGGACAGATGTTAGGCAGAAATTATTTTCTAATCATGTCAATTTCTTAGAATTGAAACTCACTATTGATTTTTTTTTCGAACCACAAAATTAGCATGCCATTACATACACTGTATAAATAGCCATGAAAACAGGCAGAACAGCATTCACTTGCCCCTTTCTTCACTTCTTGACCTCCACTTCGGAGAAAAGGTAAGAATTTAAGATATAAATTTTATTTACACCCTTTTTGTTTTATTTAAAATATATAAAGAAAAAAATTTAAATATAGTGTTTGAAATGAAAGTATTTAAATAGTGCTGACATTATTTTCAAAATTTATGTTAAAAAATAAAAGTGCCTATAAAGATTTGGTAAAAATTATAATGACCACATAAACTTTAAGAGTTCAAGAAAATGTAGTAATGATGATTAATATTATTTTAGAACAAAGCTAGTTAAGAGGCCATATTAAAATATCTATTTTCAGACCTTGGCTGGGAGCTCAGTTGGTTAGAGTGTGGTCATGAGACTCCAAGGCTGAGGGTTCTATCTTAGGTCAAGGGCACCTACAAAAATCAAATCAATAAATGTATAAATTAATGGAACAACAAACTGATGTTTCTCTCTACATCTCTTTCTTTCTCTCAATTTAATCAATAAAAAATTGAAAAGAAAATTTTAAAAGATGTTTTCTGAATTAAATGTTGCTGATTTTATTAAGCATTATTACAGTTATAAAATAAAATATATTTAAATTATTGTAAGGAAATAGGAATAACTGTAGGACAAGCTTTATTCACCAGGTAGGTATAGAGGTGGCATTTGAATTAAGATATTATGGGAGCTCTTTGGGAACATGCACTACTTGAGTGCTTATGAATAATTTTTTTTAGATGAGTGTATGCATCAAACTTGTTTACAACATACAACACCCCACTTAATTATTCAATTTATAATATTTCAAAATACTAAAATAGACACATGAAACAGAATTTAGTTAAAAAGAAATAAAAATTTAACTTTGTAAGAAAATTCTGAAAGATGTAGAAATGTCTTGAAAACAAAAACAAAAGAAAGAGATTTGGAAGAAAGAGTACCTTAGAATATATTAGTCAATAATGAAATTCTGCCTGAAAATTGTATATAAAGTATTATTTATAAAATTTGGAAAATGTAATAAGGTCTTTCCTAAATTACCAAATCATCTCTAATAATATTTTTTGAAATTTGAAAATAAAAAAATTTGGAAACTTATGTAGGTCTTAAGCAAAGTAAAATTAATATTGCTATTTGTGAGAATATGGATAGATCCTGAAAATATTAAGTAACATCAGTCAGACAGAAAAATTCAAGAACCATGTAATTTCACTCATATGTGGGATATAAAACTGAAAGTACTAGAGAAAATAAGCGGGATAATCCAACAAAAATTCATAAGCACAGACAATAGTATGCTGGTCACCATAGGGAAAGGGGTATGGGAGGGAAATAAAGGGTAAAAGGGATAAAAAATATTATATGGTATTTGAAGAAATTTGACATTGGCTGGTAAATGAACAATGCAATATGCAGATGATGCATTTTAGAATTGTGCACTTGAAACATAATTTTCTTAACAAGTATTACCCCAATCAATTTAATTAAAATAATTATGTATCACCCAGGGTGTATTGGTAGCACAAACATTATGTTTTACAAGAAATAATAGAGATGGAACAAGATCAAATGTTTAGTACATTTCAGTTAAAAATGTTAACAAATAGTATATGTTATGCTACAAAAGGGAGTGGATTGCAGTAGGGACTGGACAATTGAATCCAATCCTTTGGCAAATCATTAAGAGATCAGAATAATAAGAGAATACATAGTGTGCAATCTCTAAAGTTATATGTCACAAAGGAGAAGAGACATCAGTACATGTGTGAGGATGAAGACTGAGTAGTGGGTACACATGGAGGAAAAAACAAACTATTCAGTCCAGGAAAACATCTGGATAAGTGGAAATAATAATGATATGCTCAAACGAAGATCTCAGCCTTGTTAGAAATAAGGACATATAATTAAGCAAAATATTCATGGAAACTGTTTAGTTTAGGAAAGGTAAAAACAAAATATAAATTTCTAAGTATATATTTTCTTTGATCAGTCTGTTCCCAATAGATATGAGGACTCATCAGGGCTGAGACCTTAATATTTTGTTTTTTACTTTAAATCAAGACCCTAGACAAGCCGAAACTGGTTTGGCTCAGTGGATAGAGCGTCAGCCTGAGAAATGAAGGTTCCCAGGTTCGATTCTGGTCAAGGGCATATACCTTGATTACGGGCACATCCCCAGTGGAGGGTGTGCAGGAGGCAGCTGATAGATGATTCTCTCACATCGATGTTTCTGACTCTCTATCCCTCTCTCTTCCTCTCTGTAAAAAAATCAATAAAATATATTTAAAAAAAGAAGACTCTAGACTGCATCAGGCAATTAAGGATGTGAAATAAATATTACTCATTTTGAATAAATAAAGCAATTGATAAAGCTTTATATAAACATGTAAATCTTTTTTTTCTGTCATAAAAAAAACACACTGTACTGTAAATAAGATTTAAAAGAGTGAAGTAGGTTATAGCTGATAACTGAAAAAATGTGAATGGCTGGTATTGAACTATAAAATTGATATGTAAGACCGAGTTGTCATTGTAGATTTTGTCTTTGGTGTATGATAAAATTTCCATTAGTAATGTTTTCTAAAATGCAGACATTTTACTTTTACATTGTTTTGGTTTCTTTAAAAAAAATAATTCTACCTAAATAAGAGATTAGATTGACAACTATACTACCATTTCCTATTTTCCCTTTCACAGAACTTGAGCCATGAAGGTCCTCATCCTTGCCTGCCTCGTGGCTCTTGCTCTTGCATGGGAGGTAAGAAAAGCTCTAAATGATTAACGTGCAGTGAAATATTATCCCATGTGTAGAGAACAACATTAGCAACATTTTAAATGCACATAGAAAGCTGAATTTCAACAGACTTTTTGTTTACTTCTAAGAAAATCACTTATATTCACCGATTATTTCAGTAGAGTTCTGTAGGACCATAAATCTTGGTTAAATGTTTTCTACACTACTGGGAAACCAGTCCCTTAAAACACACACACACACACACACACACACACACACACACACATAAAACAAACAAAAACAAAAAGAAGACAAATAAGCATCAGGTAAAAGAAGGAGAAACACATAGACAAATCACACACACACACAAAAAAGAATAATATTGCACAAATACAATTGCATGCATGTCCAACCTAGATAAATGTATCAGTGATGAAACTGATGTACCTCTTGCCCTGGGGCATTGGACCAAATCCTACCTGGGTCTACTCAAAGAAATCCAGAGGGTGGAGCATAAGGCAATAGGCATAATCATAAGCACATTTGTAACCATAATGGAAATTGTTTGATACAAATTCAAATAACACCCCTTTTTTTGTTACCCATCAAAAGTTGTCCTTCGTTTATTTTAGTGAACATAATACAACAAGCAGAATTTACTAGATCCTAATTTTCCCTCTAATTATATTCTCTTCCTAAGACAAATAGGAAAATAAAATAGGTAAAATAAAATTATACCATTAGAGTTATCAAATATACAAGACATAAAACACAAATGCTTTTCAAGGATCTCAAAAGATATATAACATTTTTTATTTCTAAATTTTGTGAAGGAGATAGCTCTGCATAAAGAAAGAAAAATGAGTTAGCTATGGAAATTTAATGGTGTCTTTTTTTTTTCTCCTTACAGAAGAAAGAAGTCAGTGTATCCAGTGAGGTAAGATATTTTATTCAGAGAATATTTTTCCAACCATGCATAGTAACATTCTGCCCTGGCTGGTTTTCTTGATGTGGTTGGAGGCTCACCCATGCAGCACAAAGTTCTGGGTTTGATCCCTGGTCATGATAAATGGGAGGCAACTTCTACATGTTTCCCCCCCACATCAATGTTTCTCTCAATCTCAAATCAATAATAAAAAAAATCCAAAAAAGTAACAGTCTTTGATGATCCAGTAGTTGATTTTGCATTTTTTTTCTTTACAGACTGTAGAAAGCATTTCTAGTGAGGTAAGACAATGTTCATTCTGATGCAATGTTCCATTTGGATTGTAGAATGCTAAAAACTCTTTATATTGTGTTACTTTAGGGCACTTAAGTCAATGCAGCTAGTTCTGACCTAAGTTCTGATGTAAATTTCCATTACATGCTTAAGGACAAAATAAATGGCTGCAGAATTCCCTATTCTCTATGCTACTTTTAACGCTAGCTGCTAACTGGACCTTTGCCACTTGCCCCACCCCCTTCTTTAACTCAATGCTATGCTCCTTTTGTATGACTGGAGCTCTCTCCACACTGACCCCATTCACTTTTTCACATTCATTGAGCACCTTCTGTGGATCAGTCATCGACTAGGAGCTATGGTACAAACTGAAAAGCAGATGCCCATAGGAAAGAATGGCAATATAGGGGGTGGGCAGGCATGCAAATGGCCATATTTTGTCATTACAGGAGTCACTTTAGTAAATAATATGCAGTAAGACTTAGTTTTAGTCTTAAGTCTGTCTGGGAAGTTCAGGTAGATATTTACACTTGCACCACTTTTGGGGGTTTGTCACCTACTAAATGGTACTTAACTTATTTTATCTCTTCATAAAGGTTATCAGATCTTAGGGAAAGTATTTTACTTCTTTTAATTGATTTTAAGCCTAAACACAACAAATGAACTAAGGATAATGAACAGAATGTATTAATAATTGTTATAATTTTTTATTAATGAATTTTGTTATTTAGAATCCGATGGCATCTTAGAGATCACTTGTTGTCATAGGAAGGGAACATAGTGAGAAGGAAAATTAGTGTCTGTTAAATGCTTCTTGTTGTACTATGTTCACTAACTTTCTGTTCTTTCTTGACTGTATTCATTTACCTTGTTTATAGATCAGACTTGTGCAGAACAGTGTAGCATATGTTTCAGTGATTATGCTTTTATTTAAAAAAAATATATTATCCAGCAAGGTGTCAACCTATTAAATTCCTTTATATTCTGATACATATTGGCAAATTAAAATTTTCCATGAAAACTTAACCTATTATACTTTTATTTTTATTTTTCTGAAGGAATCCATTACCCACATCAATAAGGTAAAGCTATTTATTTAATTATTTATTATTTATTTATTTGGTTAATAAGATCATATAGACATCAAATTCCTATGATCTGTTTATAGCATTGTGTGCCATCACCCGAAGTCCAATAATTTTCTATCATTATATATTTAAGCCCATTATCCTTTACTACCCTCCAACCCTCTTCTCTCTGGTAACCACCTTACTATTGTGTGTGTGTGTCTGTATGAATTTCAGTTGTATATCACACATAAAGGGGGAGACACAATTAAATATACATATTTTTAAAAATTTCTACATTTAATTTTCACAGATTATTCCATTTCTATTTGTGTTATTTTTTTTAGCAGAAACCGAAACTGTTTGAAAATGAGAAACAGCAACAGAAAGAGGTAATTTGTTCATAATGAGTATATTTTTAAAAATTGTTATAAAATATAATCCATACAAAAGATGAGCATATTCAGTCTAAAGAATTGTAATAAAATACTGCCATTATAGGAAATATAATGTTATCAATATATTTTAAAGATATAAATGCATTTTTAATCTCATAATCCACTTGCAGAATATAGACTAAATACTTTAGAATAAGTATTGATTTGCTCAATTTATGTTTTCCATAATGAACACAAGTAGATAGATTTTCAGATTAGAAACAGGTTTCTTATTCTCAAGATAGGTGACAAAAGAAATGGGAAGAAAATATGTCATAAATCTGAATCTGATAATTGACTAGCTATTTAACCTTGACCCCAAGTTTCTTTGTACTTCCATTTCTTCAACTGTGAATGGAGGCTACTAATTACCCCCTATAGTTGGTGAATATTTTATTATATTATTTAATATTAATTACCCAGGGTTAATATTCAGTGATTTACATGAAATTTTTATGTTTTATATTAACATTGATAAATATGTGTATTTCATAAAAGGCTGCATTACAAGAGAGACATGAGACACAGAACAACCGAGTACACAGTTGTGCAACACAGTTATTAAGTAGCAGAGTTTACTTAAAAAATATAGGTCTTAGGGGTGTCGAACTCAATCAGAGAAGGGGCCAAAATCTAAAATCCAGCCTAAATCTCGGGCCGAATGGTTTACTGAATAGTCATAAACTGTCATTGTGATGGAAACGCAGCGGAGTGCAGTGATGACAGCGCGGTGCGGGCCACATTGCAAGGCCTGGCGGGACGGATTTGGCCCGCGGGCCTTGTGTTTGACACATGTGTCTTAGACAATAAAGAATTATTTAATTGAATTACAAGTGTTGTAATATCTACTTGGAACATTTCAGCTTCTTGTTTTGTCAATGGCTTGGGTTTTGAATATTACAAGAAATATTTTTCTAAATAAAAACAAATTTACATAATGATGCTTTAAAGACTTACAATAATGATTATCTATCGATACTAAAGAATCTAGTGCTCGAAGTTAGCTAGTGTTGAGTAACTCCTTCAATTAAATCACAAATTAAGATTCGCTCTTCATTAAAACATACAGAAGCAAATCTTGGAAATAATCCTCTAAATCTTTTTAAAATTAACCTTCATTATATGAAAAAATCTGGTTTACTTTTACAACACCATGTTGAGAAATTCATGCCCTCTGAGTACCAAACCCTCCAGCCAACCACAGTATTCAAGGCAATTCAGAAAGGAGAAACAAGCTTGAAATCTGGAAACATTTAACTTCAGTTTGATCTGAGTCCGCCTAAGAAAGGAGTGGGTTAATGAGAAATAATTCAATGAGTATTTAAGCATCTTCACATGACCCCAAATAATTGATTAACTAGCATAGGTAAATAGTTTTCCTTCTCTCTTTCACTCAGGATTCCTCAATCGAGAGGAGGTTCATTCATCATGAATGACAATGATAGCTGAATCATGGACTCAAAGATTCTTTTTCTTTTTTTCCAGGATGAACGCCAGGACAAAATGAACCCTCTTGTCCAGCCACAGCCTTTTTTCTATCCTAATGCTGAGCCCATCCCTTACACTGTTCTCCCACAAAACATCCTGCCCCTTGCTCAGCCCGCTATGATGCTGCCTCTCCTTCAGCCTGAAGTGATGGAAGTCCCCAATACTAAGGAGACCATCATTCCTAAGCCCAATGTGATGCAGTTGCCTAAATCTCTAGTAATGCCATTTCTTCAGCGCCAGATCCCAAACCTCAATGATTTCAAAGCACAGCTCCCTCTGCCTCTGCTCCAGCCCTGGATGCCCCAGATCCCCCAGCCTGTTTTTCAGACTCCCATGCTTCCCACTCAGCCCCTGGTCACCCTTCCTCAGACCAAAGTCCTGCCTCTTCCCCAGCAAGTGCTGGCCCACCCCCAGAAAGCTATGCCTGCCCAAGCCCTTATGCTGAACCAAGAGCTTCTGGTTGACCCTACCCAGGCATTCTATCCCATGACTCAACCTATTGTCCCAGCTTACAACTTCCAACAAGTAAGTCCTACTTTATTAACTCTGTTGTTTCATTCATGATGTGTATATGATAGTAGAAGATGTGAGAGATCCAGAATAAAAGAATAAATGAATATTTAATGGACATCCTAATGCACATAGTTGACCTCAAGTATTATCAACACTAGCTATGAAATAAAATAACTTAGAAAACTTGTTTTCCCCCAAATCCCAAGCTTAGGTCTACTCACTGAGGTTTAGAAACAAATCTTCTGATTTTCTATGTAAATACTGAGTATTTAGAAGAAATTATTTCAAAGATTCTGATTTATTCAATGTCTAGAGAATAAAGATAAAGAGGATTAAAACATACCAAATACAGAAGTAAATTTGAAAATCTGAATGTCAAAATGAGGTTAATTATTTTCTTGTGTACACCTATTCTCTACATGCTTTAATGCACATCCTGTTTGTGATATTTGTACATGTGAAGGCAAATAATTGAGATGCTAATTTTATTACTCACTAAATTTGTATTTATTGGTTAAGTTTAAAATCTAATTTAATTAAAATTTTCATCAGCATTTATCCCCCTTTACCCTCTTTCAATTCCACCCACTCTACAACCATTGAATTTTTAGAAGTATTCTTGGCAAAATTTAATTATATATTTATTTATTTCTCTCTCTTTTTTTTTTAAGGTTTAAGAGAATTGCAATGTCAATGTTTGCATCTCACTTTTGGTAAGCTTGGGGAGATGGTGATTAGATTGTTAATACATTCTTACATTACATTGTTGTGAATAAGACCAAGATAGTGACAAACTCCATCAATATACAAAATTATTTATTAATTATCAGTGTGTCATGGACATCAACATAGTTGACTACTATGTACTCTTCTGGAGTTGTGTATCTTTTATTTCATCAATGATAGTTGTGTTATGACAGATTTGAATGGTTTATCTTTAAGTGCCTATGTCCTTATGCTTGATTATCATAATTTTAGAGAAAACTAAAAACAGCTTTTTCTACTTTTATGTAAATATTTATGAGCTTTTAAAAAAAATCAACTTGCATTCTCATTTCTATCTTAGGCTTCTTAAAATGTAATAATTTTTGAAAAAACCACTTTTAAAATTTACATATTATCTTCTAATTCATGGGTCAAAATAAACTTAGTCCCAGTCTGAGGTTTAAAAAGAGGAGCGAATATAACTTTGAGATTCTTAAGATACCAATTTTTAACCTATTATGTTAAAGTAGACATTTCACTAAAACATTTCTAAGTGAGATGCTAGTTGTTCTTAGGAGATTTTTATTTGCAAGATAGGGCACAAAATGCTACATTGGTAATAAAGTTCCCCTAATGAATTAGTCATCCCAAAATTGTAAATGGAGAAAGATGTATGGTTATATCATAAAACATAACTAATTCTTTTTAATGTTTGTTTTCTATTCTATAGAATTGACTGCAACTGGAAATGTGGCATCTTTTCAAACTTTGCATCATGCAATCAAAATAATTAATAATGTATAAATTATTCTACATGGAAAAAATGTATTTCTTTTTTATTTTATGTATTATATATCATTTATCTTAATTTGAATTGGACTCATAACTTCTATTTTCACTATTTTAATTTTTAAAAAGTACCAACAATTTCAATTTTGTGTTGGAAGTACCATAGCACTATCAATAATATGTATCCAAATCATTTCTGAAATTATGCTTATTGATACTATTTCCTAAACAGTCATTTCAATAAACTTATCCTTTATGCATATTTATTTTTCCTGTATTTATTATAATCTTAAACTTAATTGGCCTCTTTAATATTAACTGTAGATTATTACTGTTATTAAAAATAGTCATGAAAGATTAAAATTAAATGGAATGCTTTGAATATTAAAAGATATCAAAAAGTAGAGGAAAAGATAATCATATGCTGTTTGATCTAAAAATACTTCATTTACATCTAAAATCCCAGTTAAAGCATTATACCTGTGCTTTATACCTTCCAAGTACCTAGCATCAGATGTCAGATTCTATGGTCACCCTTGAAAAAAAAAGATTCAAATGTAAAATCAGATTCACAACTCCGCAACATAGCAGCTAAGTTGTGCTTTGAAAGTTATCTAATTTTTTCTGGAGCTTCAATTTCCACATCTATAGGAACCAATTCAAAGGGTTTTATTGAAGTCTGAATGTGATCAGTGGACTGCACAGTATATGATTAGTGTTCCTCGTTACTTCATATTGCTGACTTGACATATATCAGAGCAGCAAGAACCAATACCACAAGCAGTAAGATCTGGATTATTGTTATTTTTGCCAGTAATGCCCAAGAATCAAAAACTTATAGAAAGCTCTGATATTCATTGTCACTGTCTGTGGAGTAATTGTTTCATTGTGTACCAACGCATGCACTGCACATTCAAGTCCATCCATTTGAGTTTACACAAACATTCATCTCTAGTAATTATTCCCTCTTTGCTGGGTTCTAAACATTTTCCTAACCTTTACAATCAAAAGTACAAATGAAACATATGTTATTTTGTCATCAACCTGTTCCCATAAAATTTTATCCTTACTGAAACCACTTGTTTTTCCAAGGTCACCAACAACATTCATCTTGCTAAACTGTGCTCATTTTACCCATCCTCTCAGTGCTATTTGGTAGACTTGATCATCCCTTCTTTTTTGAAATATCATACTTCTTTCTTAACTTGAAATCCGAAAGCTGTCAAATCCTTGGATTCTCTCTTAACTCTCCAGCCATTTATTTGCAATATCCCTTCTGAATAGCTGATATTTTCTTTCTAGCTACCTGCTATCAGTGAAATAGTTTCCCATACAAATATGACTAAAGGCAATTTTTGCTTAGTATTCTAGTCATTTTTAGGTAAACTGCATGGATTAGACTTTCTTCTAGTAAAGAACATTTTACAATTAAAATGAGATTGCCACCTGATCGGCATGGTTCAGTGGTTGAGTGTTGATGTATGAACCAGGAGGTCATGGTTCAATTCCTGGTCAGGACATAGGCTCTGGTTGCAGAGTAGACCTCCAGAGTGGGTCATGCAGGAGGCAGTTGATCAATGATTCTCTCTCATCATTGATGTTTCTCTCTCTCCCTCTCTAAAATAAATAAAAATATATTTAAAATACATAAAATGAGATTGCCTAGATGATTTTCTTGCCCTTTGAATAGCCATCCAGTTATGTCATGACCTACTTTCTTCCATAATCATTGTCCCAGAAGATTATAAAATAATACTGAATGGCTTTAGTTAAAAATATTGACAGTGAAAAATTAAATGGTTGTTGCCATATGATAGTTGTATAAAATGAGAATAAAAATAGATATGGGTGCTATGTGTCCCTCCCCAAAGATATGCTGACATCCTAACTCAACATTTTTCAATTTTTTCCCCAATTTTAATACAAACCATTTCTTAAAAATTAAATATATATGAAAATAAAACTGTAATGAATTCTTTTTTTTTACTTTTTTAATTTTTAAAATATATATTTTTTATTGAAAGTGCTATATATAATATGTTCTCTTTCCCCCCTCACTGACCTCTTCTAACCCACCCTCAATCCTTATCTCATCCCAACCCTTATCCCTAGCAGGTTTGGCTCAATGAATAAAGCCCTGGCCAGTGGCTGAAGAGTCCTGGGTTTAATTCCTGTAAAACACACATTCCTTGTTTGCAGACTTAATTCCAGGACATGTTTGGGGCGCATGTGGGAGGCAACCAATTGATCAATTGATGTATGTCTCTCTCACATTGATGTTTCTCTCCCTATGTCTCTGTTTCTCCCTTCCACTCTCTAAAAATCAGTGGGGAAATATCCTTGGGTGAAGATTAACAACAAAGACGAAGAAAAATATATCTCAGAAATTGATCTTATTTGGAAATATTGGTAATTGTAGATATAATTAGTTAAGGCAATGTTATCTAAGAGTAAGGTGTGTGTCCTTAATTTCATATGACTGTTGTCTTTATAAGAAGAGACAAAGAAGGAGAAGATGGCTTTGTGGTAACAGAGACAGAGATTGCAGTGATGCATTTACAGATCAAGGAATGTCAGGATTGCCAATAAATGCCAGGAACTAGGAAGAGGCAAAGATGAATTGTATGCTAGAGCTGTCACAAAGCACAAAGCTCAGCTGTTGCTTCTTAGCCACCAGTTTTGGTCTTTTGTTTCGGCAGAGCTAGGAAATAAATACAATAGGATATCCAACACATGCTTCATAGGTCAATTTATTATGCATGGAAAGTTTTTTTTTTTTTTAATTTTATGATATTTAACACAGAGAATAAGTTAGAAAACAAATAGTCCAGAGAATATCATTCTATCATTATTATTATGTTATAACTATTGATCATTGTGTTATATGATTACTACAGTGTTACAACTATTGATCTCAGGTATGTATTGTACACAGGCACAATATTTATAGTTTGATTTGTTTTTAAATTCCAACCTAATGCCTGAGAGAATACAAATAATGCTTTGCTTTTTGAATTGTTTGATAAAATATGCTTTTTGAAGCACTTTGGATGTATTTATTGTAAGCAGGCTGGTAATACGTTGCTAGATGTGTCAAAGGATTTTTGAGTCAGAAGAATCGTCATGAGGAGAGAGCAAAGAAGACGTCTCACCAAGCCTGTAGATAAAAGAGAAAAGGCTCTTTATTAAACTATAGACTAAGTCATTGCTAATTCCATTATGCTTGCCTGTTTTTGAATTATATGCAAAACTATTCATTTGTGTCTGATCAACTGTACATAATTGCCACTATATTACCCCCTGCTTAGTCTCCACCAAGTGGTACTAGTCCTAAAGCTAGAACAAGCATTAAAAAATGGAACATGCCCCATTGCTTATCCTGAGAGTCGGCTGACAACAGTGGACATTTTTTCCTACTGGTCCTTTCCCCATGTTGGCTCGCCTTCCCTTTAATCTTTGCTTACCTCTCTATACCCTATAGGTGGTGATGGTGGTGGTGGGGATGTCTTTTTCTGTTCCATAGTGTAAAACTTGCAGATTTCTGAGATTTGAGCATTCTCTCCAGGACTTGTCCAAGTTTTGATAAGTTTTTATTTGAGGTGACAAAGGTTGCTTGACCCCAAATCATGTGTTGGTGAAAAAAGCTTTACTAAAATTATTCTGAAGTAGTTATATCATCAGATTCCAATTTAGAATAAATTTCTATAATCTCTACTACCGGTACTTCTTCCTTATTCCTAGCTTTTATTTCTCAACTTAAATTACTGTGCTAGTTACCCTGTGAACTTGTTTATGGTCTTTCAATACTCCCCTTACCTTACTGGCCATACTCTGGCTTGTGCAATAGGCCTCAGTAACACATCCAGTCACATCACTGCCTTGTCAAATGCTGTTCTGACTGATGATGGCTGGCTTTATACCCATCTTCATGACTAGACAATAAGCAAAGACTACAGAGACTCTGGCTTAAAGGTATTGGTGTTCCTGTGCTCTGCATGCTCACTGTGGTCCACAAGTACCTGATGACTGAATACAAATTTCAGCTACATCCCTTTTTCTTAAAATGATATCACAAGGAAGAGCATTTATTTCCAATTGTTTCTTTCAAGGCTTCCAAACAATCCCTTACTTCCATGTCTTTCAATCTCCTGACCAAACTAATTACTTGCACCTAGCTATGATTTTTCCTTTTACGTGTTTCAGTGTTTTAAGAAACATTGAACAAAGAATGAAAAATGGTCACTTTTCACTTGAGATTCAGTTCTTCACATGAATGCAAGTGGCTTTTTAATTTGAATGCTATTCGCTTTCAAAATTAATGTAGCCAAATGATCTTCTTTAACCTCCTCTACATAAACCAAGCAAAACAGAGGCACAAAACAAACAAAACAACTTTCTCACCTCAACTAACAGAGACAACAGGAGAGCATTGTTTCTGTTCTGAAAGACATATTTGCTAAGCACTTTTATGTGGAATTCAGAACTGAGAACTTGCATCCATTTCTTTTTTTTAATCCTCTTTTCTAGTTTCATTTTGCATTCAATCCATCATAAAATTTACTGATTTTTTTCCCCTTAGGGGTCCCTTCTATTTCTTTTAAGTTTATCACCAGCTAATCTCATTTTGCCTATCCCTTCTCTTAAATATAGTGAACATATTTCATTCATATTTGTCTCTCAAATAGTTTTTTAATACATCCTTCCTTGATCAATTATATTCAGTTATTAGCAATGCCTGAGGCAGTAAGTTCAAACTCTTTGCCTTGTCAATAATTAGAGTTTAATTTTCATAAATTATCTATGTACGTTTAAAAATAACTGACATTTATTGGAATTATTTTAATTCTGAATTACAGAACTGATTCATTTTATAGCATAATATTTAATTTTTCATGGAATTTATAATACTTAATGTTATTTTATATAAAATTGACTTTTTAAAAATAAGTTTGTAATGTGTCCTTATCTTCTTATTAGTATTATCAGACCACAGGTCCCTATCCTAATTGCTCATCAGAGTCCCCAGGCAAAGTTTCTCAAACTTCATTATGTTATGAATCAAATTAGGGACCTTATTAAAATCCAGATTTTGATTGAATAGGTCTGGGTGGGGCTTCAGACTCTTAAATTTCTAAAAAGTTCCCAAATGGAGTTTGGGTGCCTGCTTCAAAGATTACATTTTGGAAGGTCATTTTTAAGCAATATGCAGCACAGATTTAATGCTGGGCATGGTATAGTCACAATCATATACAACTTTAATTATGGGCATTGATGGAATATATTTTTCAATAGTCTCATCAATTCTATGCATTGGGTACATATTATAATACTGGGTTGTCTATGAAAAAATTGAAGTTTAAAAAAGATTAGTAGTTTAAGGTCATGAAACTGGTAGTTGTCCCAAATAGGATACAATCACCAGGGTTCCCATCCTATAAGCCCACCTCAAACCACACCAGCACAGAACTTTTCTTTTAGGAACATTTAGAGGAACAAATGCACTTTAGAAAAGCTTCACCTCGCTATCTTACTAAAACTGGTCTGCTTTTGGTTTGATAGCTTCGTTTTACTTATTCTTGTTTTAATTAAGGTGGAGAACAAAACATGTAACTGGATGTGGCTTACCTCTGTCATCTGTCCAGTGATTACCACCTTCCTTCATATCCATACCTGGGTGGGTACTGTGGGTATGGGTAATATCCTCCCTGGCAAGATAAAGTTACAGAGAATTGAGACAATGATAGTGCAAATATTTCACAATAATTTCCATTAGAAACTTAATTTGTTAAAGTTGGTAGGAACATGTAGATCAATTAGTGTTTGATTTTTCAAAATTTTAGATAGGTTTACACTTTTTTTTAAAGAAAAATATTTAAGAGAAAAATAGAAAAACATTTGCAGTTATACTGTTCGTTGACAATGTTGTTGTTTTGTAATACAGGTGGAGCCAACCACTCACAGAAGTCTAAATATTCCTTAAATTATTGCTTCCAAATTCCTGCTTTTTCCATCCTTGAGTTTTTAGGGAGAAGGAATTTGCTAATTCCAGGTTAGGTGGAATTACTATGTCTCATTCTTGACATATAATGACCTCAGTGTTTCTTCAAATTCCTACTTTCTCTAATATTCACTCCTGTTAAATTCAATATTTTTTATCTCTCCTTTATCCTTTAATTTGTTAAATTTTATTAATTTAATTTATAAATGAATTTAATTTATAAATGAATTTATTTTTATTAATTTAATTTATAAATTAAAATTAATTTTTAATTTGCCATGTTAAAATTAATCTATTTAATATATTCATAAGAATTTCTGAGGCATATTTATATGACATGAAAATAATTTGAGATATCAAGAATATTGAACAAATTACCTTTTCTATTTTATTTAACAGATCCATTTAACTTAATTACTTCATCATCTTCCACAAGAATCAAAAGGTTAAAATTTACCACATCACCTGTCATATAATTTATATATTTCAATTTTTAACTATTCTTTAGGCCAATGCAATTACTTACCAAACAATGATACACTCTGAAAAAATAGTTGGCTTCTTCAGGGTAGCATTATATGTTTCTATCTAAGTGCTAACCAATACATAAGCTTTGGTTCTTTACCAGTATATCACAAGTAAATAAACTCAATGTCCATTTTAGGCATTCATTATATAGATATGTTTCAGAGATAAGGATTGATTCTTCTAATAGAATAAATAGTCAGACAAGGGAATATGTTTTACTATACCGCATTATCTGGGCAATACTTACATGGTATTTCTTCTTATAACGATGTTTCTGTTAAAATAAAGAACAAGTTAACATTGTTATCTATGTTTAATTACCAAGTTTCTTAGTGCGCGAATGTGTCTTACCTCATGAGATGAAGAATCAGCACCCTTGAAAAAAGAAAAGAAAAGAATGAACATCTCAATTGCATAATTCTAGATTAGTGTCAAATGCACTTGGCTTCCACAGTTATAATTAAACAAAATGGAGGCAAAGCCTTAGATAACTGATGCACTAAACTAGCTATTTCATGTTAGTGACAAAATGAAGACTAGGCTTAGGCTATAATTAATTTGCTACATTCCAATACCAACTCACTTGGATCCAAATTTGTTTTCTGTAATAAGGAAGAACATTTATCACTGTGACCAGGAGAGTGAAAATGAAAAGTTAAAATGTGGATTAGCTCAAGACCAATGTATGTTCTAAGTTGCTGAAAAACTATGTACACTTACATATTGATTGTTGGGTGTTATGATTATGTTTTTCTCTGTTGTTCTTGAATGTTTATTTATTTATTTTTTCACTTCCACTTCTGTGTAGACTTAGTATCTCATGTGTCCTTGACATTTATTCTAAGTCCTTGATGTACTGATGTAGGCTAATTTAAGGAAAATGCCCATACAAAACCATGTTTGGGCAATGCAACTGTGGTCCATAACACAAGAAACAAGACAATCTTTGAATAATTCCCGAGAATAAGTTCTTCAAAATTGTCAGATATACTTACAATCATGGCAACCAGGAGAGCCATGATAAATGTGAAGACAAAGATCTTCATATTTGGCTGAGTCCTGTGAAAACATACATGACAGATCAGTAACACACTCATTCTTACACTTGCAAATCACTTAGTGATCATAGTAGGAGCCATAGCTTTGGGAGACAGATTGGATTTACAAAGTGAATTAAAGCACATTGCCTAATATCATGAAACTTAGAGACTAATACGGAATATTGATATATAAAGATAAGTGCTGTGGTATAAAAATAATATCTTATATAATAAAAGGCTAATATGCAAACCTGACAAAAGGCAGAATGACTGGTTGCTATGACATGCACTGACCACCAGAGGACAGATGTCAGTGTAGGAGCTTTCCCCTTGGTAGTCAATGTTCTCCCACAGGGCAAGCACCACTCAGCCAGAAGCTGGCTTACAGCTGGCAAATGCAGTGGCAGTGGCAGTGGCGGGAGCCTCTCCTGCCTCCATGACAGTGTGGAGAGCGGGCCTAAGCCATCAGTTGGACATCCCCCAAAGACTCTCAGATTGTGAGAATGTGCAGGATGGGCTAGGGATCCACTCAAGTGCACAAATTGCATGCACCAGGGTCCTAGTAGTATTATAAAAACATACAAAATGGACATCTTAAACAGACCAAAAGAGGGAAGGTGGTATTAAAGTAAAGGTAAAGCTTGTGTTATATTATATAGAATAAGCAAAGAGAGATTTGGAGAAACAAAAATGAGAGAGGATAGGGCATAAGAAATGGAATACTGCTGAAACCAGTTTGGCTCAGTGGATAGAGCGTCAGAAGGGTCCCAGGTTCAATTCCAGTCAGGGGCATGTGCATTGCTTGTGGGCACATCCCCGGTGGGGGGTGTGCAGGAGGTGGCTGTTGATGTTTCTCTCGCATCAATGTTTCTAGCTTTCTATCCCTCTCCCTTCCTCTCTGTTAAAAATCAATAAAATATATTTTTTAAAAAGAAATAAAGAAATGGAATATTATAGTTCACCAGGTAAGAAAAACAAAAATGGAAACAGGCTGATCATTTAGATTGTTGTGACATTATAGGGACCTTATATAATGACATATGGTGTAATAATTAAGCTACGGTTTAAAGAAATGTTTAGAAGTTAGAATTCAAGCAACAGAAACAGTTTTTATAATAGAGGTAGAAAAAGTCAGTCAGGTTTCTAGCTTGAGAATTGTGAAGGTGGTATTATCCTAGTATTAGAAAATTTATGACAATGGAAAAAGAGAAGTCAAATAAAAAAAGTTTCAGGGAAAATAATTATATCGGGTCTAGTAATAATAATAAATACATTGAGAAACTGGTTTGGTAAAAATGATTTAATCTCCAAAACTATTATTCAAAAAAAGTACTTTAATCCGGGACTCTGATAGGCTTTTGTAATCCAATATATACAAGTGAACTCATTTCTATTGCTGTTATATGAGAAAAGTCCAATTAATTATTTCTCAGTTATGAACTTATAAATAAAAACATATTACAAACTATAAGGTAAATAGTGAGTAAACATTTTTGGCCCTCACTTTTGATAGAACAATAGAATAACATTTTTCTTTCTGATTATAGAAGAAAATATTTTGTCTAATAATTCTAAATCTCTAACATATGAAGCACAATTTGTGATTGATGGTATTTCTCTTGTTCATTATATGCCGATTTTACCTTATTGGTTTAAACTTAGAACTGTATCATTGGAAAAACTAAGAAAATTATGTTTCTTGATGAATTTTTCTTTTCCTCTACTACTTACCAAAGATTTAGTCATCTGAGAATACATATAAAGATGCAGCTTTTATATAGTATTGTTCATACCTCAAATTTTATTGAAAGTAGAGAATTAAGGAAAAATTCAAAGAAACTAATTATAGTTACCCAGATAGATAATTTAGGATTTTTGAAGAAATATTATCCAAAGAGCACAATGATAAAACTTTGACATAGTATAAATTTCAACCAAATCACAATGAAATAAAAATATATTACATAAAATGAATCAATAAAATAAAATAGTCTGTTATATAGTATATAATGCTAATTAGGCACAAAATCAGAAACTATTTTTATAATAAAAAAGCAATGAAAATGTAATGGAAAATGAACTAGTGATAGTAATACAGTAACTTTGGTGATGGTTAATTAAACTTTTGAATTAATACACACATGTGAAAAAAATAAAACTTATGCTATTAAAGAGATCATTTTCATATAAAAGATGATCTTAACCTTTAAGTTAAAGGTAAAACTAAATATTAACACAGTGGTTGTTATTAATTGAGTCAAGAAAAATAAAAAGACATGTAAGTTATTCCATCTATGGATAACATGAGCACATCTCCCCTTTGTTCCACATCATTCCCTTGGTACAATGCTTGCTGTAAATTTAGGATCATTGTGATCCTGTCCTTAACTTCAGATTCTGACATAGGATCATTACTTCTTTCAATCATTTCTTTCTGGGAAATTACCAATAAACAGTGCACATTTTAAAAATAGTTTATAACTTATTCTGCCAAAAAAACAAAAACCAGAATAAGACATCATATTAGATTTTCCAAAAATACATTACCTTTTACCCAAGAGTTCAAGACACTGATATTGTGAAGCCCTAAGAGAGGATGTGCCTTTCTAGAGGACTGATGTATTTATATACCCTGAAACCCTCTTTTTGTTTTTCTAAATCATGTCAACTATGAGATGATATTATTCAACTAAAAATAATGCCCCAAATCTGTCCCCAAATAATCAAAGATACTAAAAATAGACTTAAAGTTTACAAAAGGAAATTGTGAAGTAGAGTGACCAGGAAATATATATAATTGTGCTCATAATGTGTTAATCCCAGTGTTTGTCTAGTTATACATGAACAAGCCTCAGAGAAATGTATGCTACAGTAAAGCAAGCATGAAAATGAATTAAAATGGTAAAAGGATGTTTGTGGAACACCATCTGCTCAATTTGAACCAATGCATGTCTAAGATGGGAAAACTCCATGTCCACAATACTATTTTATCAAAATTTTACTGGTTTTCTAATATATGGTGGCAACTTGTATAATAATAAAATTGGAGTCACCATTTATTTCAAATGTGTCTACTACAAATTATTACAATGTACCTCTATTTTACAGACTTTGGAATATTTTA